AGCAGCCTGGCTTTAATCTCTAAGCTGCTTTTGCCTGATTACCAGGCTCTGAGAGATGAAACCCTGGCCTCGGGTTTGTCACCCCTTGTTCTGGGGGTGCCACTCAGCACCTTCCCTCCCTCAGGCTCTGGGGACACAAAATGCAGCTGGGTTTGTTCAGCTCAAGGCACTGAAAAGATTAGGAAAATCCCTTCTTTTTTTTTTATGGTTGGAGTGATTTTATTATTTATTATTTTATTCTGGATTGGTGATATTAAATCTGAAATAAATAAATATTAAATTTCAAACCGGTTTTGAAAGGAAGGGCAAGAAGGGGACTCACAACAGACCCGGGAAGCTGAGACAAAACAGGGAGGGGACAAATTCTGCTGGATTCACGAGGATATTTAACAACAAACCCCAACATGTTTTGTCCTTAGGATATTTAACAACAAACCCCAAAATGTTTTGTCCTTTGCAGACTCTCCAGCTTCAGAATGCAGTGGTACAAGAGCTGCTCACCAGGACACCAGCAGGGTCAGCCCACCTAATACAATTTGAGACTTAAAACCACCTACTAACTCCTCTGTATGTATGTAGAATGGATTAGAAAACTTTAAAAACCCTGTGTATCTTCGCCCAAGATACTTGAAAGTATTCCACATTTCTTGTAAAGAGAAGACAGCACTTTGTTCTGCTTCAGCCCAGATGGAAGCTTAAATTTTTATTTTTTTTTTTTTTTTTAGCTCTAGCTTTTTTTAGCTTGGTTCTTTTTTTAAAAAAAAAAAACAAACAAACAACAAACTGCATATTAATCTGTCCTTAATAAAGCATTATTGAAATTTTGATACTTCTTTGTAATGGAAGGTGTATCTTAAATTATCTCTGAAAGTAGCTGAGGGATTTTTGGGATAAGCTTATTGTGATGCCACTGGGGGAATGATGACTGTTCATAATGTTGTACAGCGTGGCCTTGGGTATAAATGATGTACAATTATATATGAATTTATGCTCTTGTACCATCCTGTTTGTGGTTTTACTTGCAGCACATTCGGGAAGAGGGGGGGGGGGAAAAAAGCATCTTGTTGCTTTTATTTTGGAATTAATTACAGATTATCAGTCCCTGTTTACATCAGAGCTCGTCTCTGGCCCACAGAAAAACACGAAGATTGAGGTATAAAGGACTAAACTGGCATCAGACTTGATGGGAGAGGGAACAAACCTTAGTTTTGTGTGATTTGTGGGCTGCTCATTAGTCCCTGGAAAGGCTGGGGGCAGGCTGAGGGTGTTCACAGCCCCACTGGGCACCACCAGCACTGGTACTGGTGTCAGGGAAAAGGGGGTCAGGCTGCCCCAGTAACACCAGTGCCAGCCCCAGCCCTGCCTGGCTGGGCATTCCAACCCCATGACAATGCAGTCCAATAACCTGGAGCAGAGCTGAGTCTTTAAATAATTCCATTTAATCAGACTAAGTGTCACCTCACCCCACCGTGCTCTCTCCCGCAGGAGTTACAGCGCACGCGGAAGCCAGAGGGGAAGCTGAGTCCTAAACCCAGCCCCACCCCCGGGCTCAGGGGGGTGCTCCAGCCTAGCAGCACTAATCCCTGCTCCCCCCCTGCCTCGGGAACACCCTCCTGGAACGCGGTGCCGACCCCCCTGGGAGCAGTGCAGGAGGTGCCTCGCTGGGTGAGACCCCCCGAGGGAGGGACAAGCAGCCGGGGCTGCCCTACTGCACAGCCCCCCCCAGCCACCCCTGAGCTCACCCCGCTGGGAAAGGGAGGGAAGAGGCTAAAACCAGCAGCACTGACCCCACTGCCCTTTATTTCAGGGGAGGGTCTGCACCCTGGCCAGGAGCTCCGGCCTCAGGGGGCTCTGGGGCTGCTCCTCTGCTGCTGCCTCGATGTCTGCCATGACTGCTGCGTCCCAGCACAGGCTCAGGAGGGCCGAGGGCACCTGCCACAGAGAGGCACGTTAGGGAGCCAGAAAATCATGGAATACTTCAGGCTGGAAGGCACCTTAAAGCTCAGCTTGCTCCACCCCTCCCACCGTGGGCAGGGACACCTTCTGCTGTCCCAGCTTGCTCCAGCCTGGCCTTGGCCACTTCCAGGGATGGAGCAGCCACAGTTTCCCTGGGCTTGTAACACTCTGCGTGCCTTCCCAGAGCTGGGAAAACTTCAGCTAAAAGGGACAAGGGTGGATTTCTGCCACAAGCTCCTTCTGGGAGACGCTGCTCTGGGCTTTCCATTCACACCCTTGCCTTGCCTGTGCTGCCTTCCCTCTTTTCCCAGGGTGGATGCCCAGCCTCTGGCAGAGCTGCTGGCAACTCCTGCAGCTGCCTTTGCTCCAGGAGGGAGGTCCCTGCAGTTCCCTCCAGACTTTGAAGCCTCCAAGCAGTTTCTTGTTTGCTTGTGCTTAAAATGAGGGGGCCAGAGCACAACTTAGGGCTCTGAAAGCTGAAGACACACAGACTTCCCCCCAGGCTCCGAGACTGTGATGGAAGGGGCTGAAGTTCCCTCTAAAAGCAGCTGAGGGATTTTGGAACAAGCTTAGGGGGGGACTCTGAACACCTCAGGACCCTGGGGAAGGCACCAGCTCAGTGTTTTTTCCACTCACCAGCCCACACTCATTGAAGGCCAAGTTCTCATCAGTCAGTTTGACCCCTCCAGGTCCCAGGAGCTCAAAGGGCAACCAGTCATCTCTGAGTGCTTCCCTCACAAAGCTGTAGAGCACAGACACTGCTTCCCGGGCATAAAAAGTCCCTGCCAGGAGAAAAACGAGGTGAGGGAGTCCGGCCTTTCCCAAAAATCCAACCTTTTGGTGGCCCCTTCCGTGGGGCTCTGACTTTCTCAACTACTTCAGTGCCACACAGCCAGGCTGGCTGAACTGGAAAGGCCTCAAAGCAGAGTGCCCAGAGGAACTTATTCAATCACTGCAAGCCCCTGCCAGGCTGTGACAAAGAGCTGGGAAAGCCTGAAGTGATTTCCAGAGTTCTGCTGGAAGATTGGAAGGGGATTTGTGCTGTTGTACAGCCTCGTGCTGGTTCCTGTGACACTGGTCTAATGAGTCCAGCTTGTTCCCAGAGGTTTTGGGAAGAGGAGGCTTTTTAATGAGTGATGCCTTGGGATTCTTTCCACCCTAAAATCCCAACCCTGAGCAGGTGATGGAGATGGGAATTCTTGGAGAAACACCCCGCTCTGGTTTGGTGTTTTATTCCACGAGCTGTGTTAATATTCAGTTTTCTATCCCACAAGCACCCTCAGGAGGTGCCCAAAGGAAGGGTGAGGAGCCTTTTCCTCACCTTGGAGGATGTATCCGTCGGGAAAGCGCACCCGGAGCAGGGTGTAGTTGTACTTCCTCATCTCCCTCTGCTCCTCCTTCTCCCTCATGGCTCTTGTCCTCAGCATGGACGCCTTCTCCAC